ATGCTCCATAGCAATTTAGGGAGATCAAATAATATAATTAAATGTATGTTCAGATATGAGAGGGGAAAAAATCAAAAGAGTCAATTGAGGTACAGTCCCAAAGATGAAAGAAAAACAATCAGAAAAGAAATAGGGATATAAAACTGGGGAGAGGAGTGCAAACATGTTAAGGATGTGCTTACCGGGGTAATCTTGTGCCATTTAATGCAGAGGCCATGGCACTATTTTGAAGTTTTCTATAGAAATGAAAACATTAAGATAGAATAAATAAGTCATTCAAAGAAAGACAAATACTGCATGTTCTTCTTATTATACAGAATCTAAAATAGACGACAAAAAGTAGAAGGGCGGCCTATAATCCCAGCGCCGGGGAGACTGAGGCAGGAGGATCACCTCCAGGTGCAGCCTGGGCTACACAGTGGGTTCAAGACCAGCATGAACTACATAGTGAGACCCTGCCTCAAACAACCAAAAAGAAGGACAGACAGACACAGGCTCCAGGGTCAGGCACTGGCCAAGGTCATGAGGCTGGTAATGGGGCCAGGGTGGGGTGGGAAGGCCAGGGTATGACCTGCTGGCTCAGCTGAGCTCTGAGGCACAGCTTTTCCTCCCTCCAGGTCTCTGGAAAGTGGTGGCTCAGCTGATTTTTCTTTTTTCCCTGGGAAGGGGACGCTGGACGTCTACCCCTCCCTCCCCAGGAGGCTCCGTGGCAGCGGCTGTGCTGACAGGCCTCGTGGCTTCCTTGTGAGGGTGGCTGGCAGCTCTGGAGGGCCCCCTGTGCCCAGATCAGCCTGAGGGAAGAGGGAGCCGCAAAGGTCCCCCTCCCCTCACCGATCCCCAAGGCCCCTCCCACCCTCAGCCTCTTCTGTCTTTGGAAAGACAGAGGACTCCAGCAGGGAAACTGGCTGTGACAGAAGGGCGGGCAGCCTTCTGCCTCAGGGTCCCCCAGCACTCCCTAGCTAGTCTCCTGGTTTCTGTGACCTCTGTCACGCACTGGCCTAGGCTCTTTAATATTTCATGGCCCGTCAAGTGGCCCCTGCCCCCCCCCCAAGTCCCCCTTTGTCTGCCTGCCACCCCCCTTGGGGGATCCCTGTCACTGAATTACTGACCCAGAGGCTTGTCTGCCTTCCCCCAACTGCCCCCCACTGCGACTGCTCCTGCCGCCCTCCGGGGTCCGCCTACCCCACACCTCCACTTATGATACCCTCCATGGCTCACAGGGTCCTCTACCCTTCCCTGACATCTCTAACCATCTCCCTGCCCTTTTCCTCCATTTTCCTCTTTTGTTGACCGCCCCCTTCCCAATGGAACCGAAACTGAGACCCCTGGTCTGCTTGCTGTCCGCCCCCCTTCCTGCCCCTCCCCCCAGCGGTGCGGGCCAACCCTGAGAGTTGGTTTTATTTATTTTTCTGTTTGTTCGGGAAGAGGGCAGTGGCGACTCTGGGCCCTGGCTGCTGTGCTGTGCTTAAAGCAGTGGGCAGGTGGCCGCGCTGGCCTCCCAGGAATGTGGCCAGGACGCCCCACGCTGTATTTACTCCCCTCCAGCTGCCGGCCCAACAGGGCAGAGCCAGGCCTGCCCGGTGGCCCCCCGGGAGCCCTGTGTCCTCCCTCCCCTGTCTGGCAGACCCCACGTGGCCCTTAGGCCCGCTACCTCCTCCCTTGCCCGTGACCCCCCCGACCTTTGCCTTGCCTGCTTTGCCAGCAGGAACGCTGTATGCCACGCTACAGGCATAAAGTGAGGGTGCTGGGGAGCCTGCCACTCAGCCGCCTCCGCACCCCCACCCAGGGCCTAACTTAGGCCTGTAATCTGGTGGCTAGAAGCATGCAAAACATCTTCCCAGGCTTCTCCCCACGAGCCTGGTCCCTGCTCTTGCCACAATCTCCTTTAGGTCCATGCCATCACTGGCAAGAGTGGGATGGGGCTGGAGCAGCTCTGTCCCACATGGTGGGACGACCCCTCAGGGCCCTCACGGGCACACATCACACACACCTTGGCGCTTGCACATACACATGTGGAGAAAGGCTCCCCCAGGAACACATGCTGGGTTGTACCTTCCACGCAGGCAGGGCCGTGCCTTCTGACATTGACTCCCTTTCATCAGATGCTTGCAGGAATTTTTTGAGCCCATTTCTTGCCAGCCTTGCAATCTCTAAAGTTAACAGCTCTCTGACCTTTGGCTCCTTTAGTCCTCGCAGTAGCCCCAGGAGCTCAGGTAACAGTTAGGGTCCCCATATGCAGATGGGGACACTGAGACTTAACAGAGTTTGTGACTTGATGCTGGCAAGTGGGACTGAATTCTGGCAGAGCCCTGGACAGGCTGTGAACACCACGAAGACAGCCACAGGTGGTTATGTGTTGTGTTCCCTGCACCTCCTGTGCTACCAGGCACATGGAGCAGATTCCCATTCACTGCCTTCAGACCCTGCTTTGCTTCCCCTGTGAGTCAGGGAGATGGGCTGATTAGCTAGCTAGTTGAGTCAATAAAGGAATGAATTAATCAATGACCTGCTGATTGGCTGTGAAATGAGCACTCCTGAAGGACCCTGGGATGTGGGTTGTGTGGTGCTGGACAGGCTGCTGTTTGAATACCCACTGACCCAGAGGAGGACTGGAAGTGAAGTGGGAGCAGGGCTGACAGAGATGGTCAGAGGAGCAGGCTGCCAGGCCAAACCTGTGGGCCAAGTGGTCCTGTCTTCTCCCTGGCTCTCAGTTTTGCTGTCTGCCAAATGGGCTTGGGAGCCTTTGTTCTGGCTGGCTGGCAGCTGGCCCGAACTGGAGCTGGCCTAGGAGGTGAGGTGAAGGGACTGGCGGGAAGGAGGAAGCAGTGGGTGGTGAAGACAGGAAGATGAAGCGTGGAGCTTGGCTTGGAACCTGAGAAGCAGGAGACCAGCCCTGACCTAACGCTGGCCCTCCCTCTGGCCCTCCCTTAGAGCTGCAGGCTCACAAAACCCCAACCACCCACTCTTGCCCTGGTGCAGGCTTACTTCCTGACATCCGTGGCATCAGTGGCTGTGTGTGCCAGGAGGAGGTGGCTTGTCCCCTGGGATTAGACCAGCTCCTCCCTGGGTCCATGCTTCCCCCTCACCAGCTTCACATCAGTTCTTGTGTATCTTGCTTGGAGAAACCTCCCGACTAGATGGGAAGGTGGTTAACTGGGCCCGTAGCAGTAAGCACAGGGTAGGGTCATGGCCCCCCTTTTATGGGGCTGTCAGGTCTTAGTGCTCTAGAATTTTTAGCGACAAGAGTCTAGAATCATAGACTACTTAGAATGGAAGGCTCCTCATCAGGACTCTTGTCATTGGTATTCTAGAATCACAGGACTGTGGATTTTCCTGTGGGAAGGAAGCATGACTGGTCATGTTTCAATCTCTTGTTTGGTGGGAAGGGACACTGAGGCTCTGGGTGGTGTTTTTCCTGAGGTCACAGAGCCTGGAGCCCTTAGGTGACATGAGCCCATATTTGGAATACCACCGCCAGTTCTGCCAGTAGGGGGTGGGCTGTGGGCCCAATCAGGCAGCAAGAGGATGCGGCTGGCCCTGCAGGCACAGGAGGGGTCCTCTCTGTGGCCACCTGCCCGTCTGCTGCCCACGCTTCTAGAGGTACCGGTGTGAGGAGGAAATGCAGGCTGTTGCTTCCAGCAACAGCCGGCAGGGCCGGGAGGCTTCCCAGCTCCCCCTCTGACTCATGGCTGCCTGCAGCTCCCCTCCCCTGGGGGCCTCAGCAGCTCCATCTGTGCAATGGCGAGAGGAGGCTTTATCCCACACTCTCCTGTCACAGAGACAATTAGGCCAAGGATTCTGTGCAGGACTACCGTTGGGCTGTGGAGAGTCGGGAGAGTAGTGCAGAAGAGCCACGGCATTTGCCCTGGAGCACTGAGAAGTTCTGCTTGGAGTCTCGCTAGGGCCCCTGGTAGCCTGGGAGGACCAACTTGGTTCCTGGGCTGAAAGTGGTGAAAGGTAAATGATAAAGAAGGGACCCAAATCAGCCTCTTTCAAGCTCCTTTTTGGAGCTGGGCTTGGTGGCATGTGCCTATAGTCCTAGCACTCAGGAAGTCTGAGGCAGGTGAATCACAAGTTCAAAGCCAGCCTGGCAATTTAGCAAGACCGTGTCTTTAAAAAACACCTGGGGTTGTAGCTCAGGGTTCAGTCCCCAGCACTGGGTCGGTAGGGATGGGAAGGCTATCTCTGGGGGCTCTCTCCTGACCTCAGTATACCCATCTGCAAAATGGAGGGTGTTGGTTATCCCATGGGGTCAGTCTGTGCTGTTTGGATATTCTGGATCCTGGGAATCCTGAGAGCCAGATCCTGGAGTTGTGAGGAGGGAGGGAGCAGCAGAGCAAGAGCAGCATCAGTGCAGCTATCGATTTCTGCCACCAGCCAGCAGGCCACAGAGAGTAAAGACACTTCCACATGGACATCTGACCATGTGCCTGCCCTGAGCAGCAAGGGCCACCAGGCATCTCTGTTGTGGGCAGCAGGGCCATGCGCTCGTCTGTGAATCCCTGGCAGTTGGCAGGCTTTCTCAGCAGTGGGACCTGGGCCTCAGCTCCACCAATGGCAGCAGTGGCCCAAAGGCAGGAGCAACAGACAAGAGTACGGCAGTGGTGGCCACTACGCCAGCCTTGGTGGCAGATGACGCGCCACCCGAGCGTCAGAACAAGAGTGGCATCATCAGCGAAGCCCTCAACAAGAGCCTGCGTCGCTCCCGTCCACTCTCTCACTGCTCTTCCTTTGGTGGCAGTGGTGGTGGCAGCATGATGGGCGGGGAGTCTGCTGACAAGGCCGCTGCAGCTGCGGCTGCCCTATCGGCCAAGGGTCACGACCTCGAGGCGGCCGTGGCAGTGGACAAAAGCAACCCTACCTCAAAGCACAAAAGCGGTGCTGTGGCCAGCCTGCTGAGCAAGGCAGAGCGGGCCACGGAGCTGGCAGCCGAGGGACAGCTGACGCTGCAGCAGTTCGCACAGTCCACGGAGATGCTGAAGCGCTTGGTGCAGGAGCATCTCCCGCTCATGAGTGAGGCAGGTGCGGGCCTGCCTGACATGGAGGCTGTGGAGGGCACCGAAGCCCTCAATGGCCAGTCCGATTTCCCCTACCTGGGCGCTTTCCCCATCAACCCAGGCCTCTTCAGCATGACCCCAGCAGGCGTGTTCCTGGCTGAGAGTGTGCTGCACATGGCTGGCCTGGCAGAGTACCCCATGCAGGGAGAGCTGGCCTCTGCCATCAGCTAGGGCAAGAAGAAGCGGAAACGCTGTGGCATGTGTGCGCCCTGTCGGCCGCGCGTCAACTGTGAGCAGCGCAGCAGTTCTAGGAACCGAAAGACTGGCCATCAGATCTGCAAATTCAGAAAATGTGAGGAACTCAAAAAGAAGCCTTCCACTGCTCTGGAGAAGGTGATGCTTCCCACGGGAGCCGCCTTCCGGTGGTTTCAGTGACGGCGGCGGGAACCCAAAGCTGCCCTCTCCGTGCAATGTCACTGCTCCTGTGGTCTCCGGCAAGGGATTCGGGCGAAGACAAACGTATGCACCCGTCTTGAGAACCAAAAATATTCTCTCATAGAGTTCATTCCTGTTTTCATATATATATATATTTGTTGTTGTCGTTTTAACATCTCCACGTCCCTAGTATAAAAAGAAAAAAAAAAATGTAACTGCTTTTTTGAAAGAACAACAACCAAAAAAGAGGTAAAGACGAACCTATAAAGTACTGAGACTTCCTGGGCAAAGAATGGACAATCAGTCTCCTTCCTGTGTCGATGTCGATATTGTCTGTGCAGGAGATGCTGTTTTTGTGTAGAGAATGTAAATTTTCTGTAACCTTTTGAAATCCAGTTACTAATAAGCACTACTGCAATTTAGCACAGTTTAACTCCACCCTCATTTAAACTTCCTTTGATTCTTTCCGACTATGAAAATAGTGCATAGTTTGCCTGGAGGATCCGCTCACATTTATAGAGATGGCGCCATGTAGAAGTCCCTCTGTACCCATCCTGGAGTGCAGAGCTGCTGGCGGAAGTTCACTGGAGGGAGGGAGCAACCTCAGCCCCAGGCCCAGGCCAGCCGTGCTGTACCCACCGTGCCCTGACTGGGATCCCCCACTCCAACAGTGATGTTTTGGAAAAATGGAAGTTCTATTTGTTTATCCACTGAGATCTGGTGAGCCTGTGTCTCGCTATTTCGGAACCTGGCTACTTCCCTTAGAGAAAATAAGTCATTTTGGGGGCCTTGCTAATGGCAGCAGAAGAAAGGGCTTTGAGTGATCCCCTGCCGGTGGGGGTGGGTGCCCAAGGGGCCCCCTGTGGCCCCAGGTCCCCCTGCCCATGACCAGCTTCCTGATGATGAACATGCTGTTTGTATTGTTTTAGGAAACCAGGCTGTTTTGTGAATAAAACGAATTCATCTTTGTGTCACAAAAAAAAAAAGTAGAAGGGAGACTATTACTAGACAAGAGGCAGGAAAAATGAGAGGAACATAAGAGCAGAAAAAAGAGGTAATGAACATGATCAAAATACATTCAAACATTGGGCCGGGAATTTAGCTCAGTGGTTTCACTACCTGGTGTAAAAGCACAAGGACCCAAGTTCGATCCCTGGTACCAAAAAAACCCAAAAAACATTCAAACAGCCAAAATATCAGGTGAAATTAGGGGGATTCTTGGGAGTAAGGGGGTATTGGGGAAAATTATTATATGCTTGTACAAATCTGCCAAAATAAAACGTTTGAATTTATATAACTAATATACATTGATAAAGGGTGGGGAAATACAACAAATAAATAATTGTGTGATTAATTTCTAGGTTTTGTTGAAAATAGCTGAAAATATCAATATATCTGTAAAATATTTCGGTGAGTGTTTTTGTGAGAAAAGAAGGAGAATTAGCTTATTGAAGAAAATTAGCTCTTTATATATATAGTTCCATTATAAAAATCACATATTTCTTTTTAAACTTCACCAATCTCTTCTTGACACCTGAATTTCCTGCCTATTCCTTTCACATACCCGAGTGTTCCCCTGCAGCTATAACTAAACATTTCCAGAAGCTCTGTCCTGAACACATCGTGTGTATACAGTCCAAGGCCATTGACCCTTCTCTGTCCATGTCTACTCTGGTGTCATTCAAGGTATCTATCTTAAGGACTCAACCACCTGTGAAGCTACACAGAGGCACCACCGATCCCCAGGCACCCACCACTGGCCCAATTGTTCAGGGCAGGAACATCCTTTCCATCACCAGGTTTCATAGTTTCTCAGAAGCAATGCCCACCACAGGGCACAAGGAAGAGAAGTCACACTTTGTCCATTTTCCTTCCACATATCTTTCAGGCTTTTAGATATAATTTAGTGAGAAATTATAATGTACTATTCATATCACAGGCATGGAGGACATGACAAATAGAATTGATTCTTGGCTCATAGAAATTTAAATAGTCTAGCGAACAGTGAAGGTGAGCAAATTGTTACAACATAATGTAGCATTTAGAGCTGCTAAAGCAGAAATCCAGATACTATTTATATCCAACATAGATCGAACTCGGGACCTTGTGCTTGCAAAGCAGGCGGCAGCACCACTGAGCTAAACCCCCAGCCCTCCAACACCTCTCTGATTATCTACCTTTTCCCCAAAATGCAGTTACTAAAATCCAGTTAGATGAGGGTCACTTTATTTTTCACTCTCAGAGATGATACTGCACAAAGGAAGAGATCACAAATACAAAAATCTGGAAGAAATTGTTGAATTGAAATCCTGGTATATTTTCAAGCTTATTAAAATCATGCCACTTTCCCTGAGTTGGTTTTACCAATTTATATTCCAATCTGTAGCATGTGGCAATTCACCTGAATTTTGCTACTTCATCCACATTTGATATTCTTCGTTTTCTTTCTTAACATCTGACAATCTGTGAAAGATTTTAAATTTATTATAGATGGCTATACCTACAGATAGATCTGTATAAGTGTGTACAAATCTATAACTAGAAGTATGTATACATTTGTATAGATAGCAAGATTTTACATAGGATGGTTCATTGTACATAAGTCTATAATTTACAAAATTATTATGACAAACACATAGGCAATTTACATCTGTGCCAAGATGTAGAATATTTCCAGCACCCCAAACACTTCTTTGCATAAAAACTCTGCCCTCTCTTGAGCACCATGCAATACTGTCTCTCGAGAAGAAGGAGTCACAGCAGTGGCTCATTCTTTTCCACATTGCATTCTTCTCCATATCAAACTTTTAACAT